ATAACAACAACACATAACAACAATAAAATACAAACACGTGAAAAGATCAAAATAAAATATTACAGAATAAAGTATCACTTGCCTTTCTTGAATAGAAGAACTGAATATATATCGCAAGGAACAAGCCCATATATAAGGACTATAGATATGAATAATTCCAGACACCCAACTAAAAGAAGAAAAAAATAAAAATTAAAAACTATAACCACTTACAAATTAATACTTAAGATGCATACTTTAGATTATGTTCTTTTCAAAGTAATGTGATAGATCCTTGGCATTCACCAATAATGCATTTAAAGCCTTCATAAATAAGAAATCTGTAAACACTAGATCATGATAATTATTAAAAGCAAGGAGAGAAAAATAGGAAACAGATATAAAAGCAGTAGGCTAGCATAAATTAGCATAGAGTGAAGTGAATGGGCTGAATCAGGGAAATGACATTTTCTGCATAAAACTATTTTACTAAAGTTGAGAGAAAATGCTGTAACATATACATTTATTGTTGTTAGGTGCTGCTGAGTTGATTTTGACTTATAGTGACATCATGAGACAGAGTAGAACTGTCTCATAGGGCTTTCTTAGCTGTAATCTTTAAGAAAATAGAAAGTGAGGTCTTTCTCCCACGGAGCTGCTAGGTGGATTCAAACTGCCAAACTTTTGATTAGCAGCCAAAACCTTAACCAGTTGTACATCACAGCTCCTTGCAACTTATATAGGTAGCCCGAAACAGAAAGACTCTTACTGAATATTCCCTTGGGCCTCAATATCTCATAGCTAATATGGGGCCACAGCAAATAGACTATAAGGACACTGACTCCATGGTATACAGAACATTTGTGCAACTTCATCTTTTAACTTTGCACATACCATGTGCTCACATACGCACCCTTTCCCAACTACCCTCTTCCTTGCTACCATTCAAACCCTTAAAGGCACAGTTCAAGTTTACTAAGAAAATATCCCTCTTTCATAAATACTAATAGTGCTCAGGATTATAATACTCTTTCCTAGTTAGTCATATACTTTCTTATTATTTACCTTTGTATGTATAAATAGCTGAATATTTATCTCACTTTGATTATAAATTTCTCGAGGAGAAGTTTTAAAACCTAACACAACACCAAACATAGTATAATGCATATAGTAAGCACTCAATAAAATATTGAATAAATATAAATTCTAAACAATCTGTCTAAATGCTATTACCCATTAACTCTGAAGAGAAAGCCATTACCAATAAAGGAAATTTTTACAAAACTGACCGGCAGTGTATTTTATTCTGAGCCCTGGAGTTTGTCAAGATGCCTGAAGAATAGGAGTAGAAAGAAAGTTGAAGGAATAGGGCTCTAAGTCTTCAGCTTCAACCAGAAGACTTTAATTTTATCTCCTTTAAATTTTAGAATTCTTGCAAAACGTTGTTTTAGCTGATTCCATTATTAAAATAAGAACACTGAAGAACAACTAGCCTTTGTGGTATAAGGTGATCTAGCTATTAATTATATATTCATAGTATAACATTTATATGCTTATCATACATATTTTAATACATCTTTAGCCAAAAAGATTCCTATAAACAATGCAAAACTTACATTCCCACTAATGGTAAGGAATAAACCTTGGGATCAGATTCCAGCAGAAGTAATAATTTGCGTGTTTCATCCATGGTAAGATATCTAAATAGAAGACATTCATGTAAAAATAAAGTATTATATTACATACTTTTTACCTAAAATAGATTAAGTGCTGAAGAAGTAAATTTTAGGTAGGAGGAAGGATTCCAATGAACACTGTCTCATTTAGACATGCCGTACACATCTGAGCTATACAGGGAAAACACTTGAAAGCCTAAGAAGACTGGTGAGAGAAAGAGATACCTTAAAACTTCTACCTAGCTATTAAAATGGTCAGTGAGGATTAAACATCTTTCAAAAAAAAAGGTTTTCCTCTAAAAGTACCAACACAACTTACTTTAACCAAAAGTATTAAAATCAAGGCAGACATTTCCTGAATCAGACAGATTTCCCTGGGAGAAATGAACTCCACCTTACTGAAGTATTCAAACATCTAGATAACTTGATAAGGCTGTAACAGATGTGATCTCTCATCGAAAGAAGCTGACTTATGTCAGATATATTCAGCTTTCCAAATATTACAACCCTCCAATCACTATCAAAGAAATTTGGAACAATCATGATAGAACCCAAAAGTTCTTTTTATCCCTAAAATACCTTATATAACACTTATATTTTGTTATTTATTATTGGCAGCAAGTTTCAAAGATACGAAAAACTGTAGTACAAATGTTGAGAATCGATTTTATTGTTAAGCCTTTAAAATGCAAAAATAAAAACAATGCTTTAGTGATATAACACCTTGACAGTACCAGTGAGGATATATTTTATTGCTATCACAACCCTAAAATACAAGATAATGAATTTATCAGGCTATGCAATAAGAAGATTAAGTCTGAGTTGGCAGGAGATTTATGTATCAACAATGACTTACACCTGCTTTGAAAGCTCTCGTGCCTTGCCCATCTGATAACTATCTGTTCTTTAAAAAGAGTTAGCTCAGGCTTTCTATGATTTTCCCAGGCAGCTTGGCCATACTTTCATGCTTTTCCTCCACTGTAGATAAGCTCTATGATTGCACATGATGTTTACATGTAAGCAGTATGTTTTTAAATCTATTTCCAGTACAATACCTAGCCCAGAATGGAGCCTAATAAATATTAGAGAGAAAAAGTGAATATGGCCAGGGCAAGAAAGCAGTCACAAACTTAGTAGATAATTCTAGGTAGGAAGGGGCAAGTCAAATAGATTAGAGAGAATACCGAATGCTCCGGGTTACTATCAGCATGCCAAAGATGGATAATTAAAAGAAAGATAGATCATGCTTCATGTGCAGGTGGGCAAATTAAGGAAAAATTATTTTTTGGTTAATTTTACAAAAAATTTCTATGTCCCAATTGAGGAGAGCTTTATTACTCCATGAGAAATAAATGTCCCATTTAATTCTAATGTATTTTGACCACCAACTATCTGCTACTTTGTAATTTATCAACTTTTTCCCTTGCTTCACTCCAAATAGAAAGGTGCTCCTGCTCAGCATCTGGGACTCAAAATGGGACCTTCTTTTGAAAAAGAAAGTTCTTTCTTTTTCTCATCCTCTTTTAAACCAGCATTTTCTGAGGATAAGACTTAGTTGAATGTACAGTAGCAAACATCTTTGGCTCTACTGACCTAATAGGAAGTAGGGTGGAGTCAATGGGAAAGGAAGCCAGAAGTGAATTGCTTAGGGCTGCCTCTGGTCAGACTTTAAAGCAGAAGAGTGCCAATATTGTCTAACCCAGTTCAGGAGACAATAGGTAAAGAAAGTAGATGAGGATTCAGGGAAGCAACCCCGCTGAGAATTAGAAAGCATGCATTTTGGCTTATGTTTCCTAAGAAACTTACTAGTATTGACAGGAAGCAGGAGAGGATACTGCTTTAGCTATGTGAGGAAACTCCACCCTCAAGTAGTTGACAATTGGGTAAGCAAATCAAACCAAACTCACTGCTATCAAGTCAGTTCCAACTCACAGTGACTCCCAGTGGGTTTCCAAGGCTTTAAATCTCTACAGAAGCACACCACCTCATCTTTCTTCCGCGAAGCAGCTAGTAGGTTTGAACGACCGACCTTTTGGTTAGCAGCCAAAGGCCTTAACCACTTAAACACTAAACCATCAGAGCTCCTTAGGGTAAGCAAGAATCCTGTCAAATTTTATTCCCTTTCTCTACCTACAATGCTCACTCTTCACAAAACTGTGTAATATAAATAAATCCTCCAGCCTCTCTTGGGTTCACAATTATTTAGGGCACAGTAATGAAAACAGAAAAGAGACCAAACCTAAGCAATATATAAACAGTAAAATTATATGGAGGATAATTTTCCTTACATTTTTAAGTCACAAATTTAATATAATTTTACCACCAATTTTTCTCTGAAAGAAAATTCTATATGCAACAAAAATTAACTTTTTACTTTCCTTGGTTATTTATCATGCCATCACAAATCTCTAGCATGAAAACTGACTGCACAATTATTTCATATTATGTAGATATCTGAAAACATACAATTGTAACCAATATTTAAAATTTTGGATTAATTTATGTCTTACTTACCCATATTTATAGGTTCCTTGAACTTGAGAAATACTCAAACTACTGCTCAAGTTTCTTGCCAAGGCTGTTGGAATTATGGGGATAGGCTTCACAGGTGTGCATTTAAAGGTATTTGCTAGAGTTACTGCTGCCCAGTGAAAGTCAAAATCCACATTGTCCAAACTTTCCCTGGAAGTTATATGAGATCTTAGGGAAAGCAGCTTACCAAAGTCCAAGGAATCTTTGCTACATATATGGTGCTGCAGCGCCTAAGGAATCAATATTAAACAATTATTTTAAAACTCTGAAACATGAACATATCTCTAAAGCTTTTTGTTTTATATGGTATGTATGTTTGTGTCTACCACCTGGCTCTCAGTTTGTCATACTACAGAGGCTTATACATTGCATGATGCTGGAAGCTATGTCATTGGCATTCCAAATACCAGCAGGGTCACCCATAATGAACAGATTTCAGCAGTGCTGGAGATTGACTTCTGAAGATTAGCCAAGGAAAACTGTATGGACCACAACAGAGTATTGTCTGATATAGCACTGGAAGATGGGCCCCCTATGTTGGAAGGCACTCAAAATACATAGTGGACACAACAATTGACTGAAGCACACCAAGGATCAGGAAGATGGTGCAGGACCAGGCAATGTTTAGTTCTGTTATACGTGAGGCTGCCATGAGTCAGTGCCAACTCAATAGCAACTAACAATAATGTATATCTTGTACTAACAAAAATTAAATGAATTCTGATTTACAACATTTCAATTCTCTTGTTTCTTCCCTGTGACCAAAAAGTGTATAATTATTTCAGTGCAAATAAAATTTATTGCCTGAAGCACTATCACACATTTCTAACCTGTATGTCCAGCAGCACTTCAAATTCTTACTGGGGAATGTAACCACAATGAATAGTTGTTACATAGGGGGAAAATGCACATAAAGCAACACTGACTCACTCTCAGAGAACCTAAAGTCCATTCCTCTTTGATTCCTTCTCTGTTGCCCCAATTGTTGTTAGTTCTCCCTCTGTAGTTATTCATTATCAATGAGTCCTTGCTAGTCTGACTATAGGCTAGTTCACTCCTCTCTAACACACACCTGGCTTCTGCAATGGCCAAACTGGTCTCTCTGACCCAGTCTACCTGCCTTATCAGATTAACCACTCATGATTTGACAATATTTCTTCTTTTCAAAAACCTCCAATGACTACACAGCTCACGTGACCAAGATCAAATTACTCAGATGTGCATGCAAGGTCCTCTATAATCTGGCCCAACTTCTGCTTCACTCAACACTCACAAATTCAGCAAAAATATGTACCCAAATGGGACCCTGAGCACATCTTGCCTCTCTCTTCTCTTGCTCATTCTGCTTCCTCTTTTGAAATGCTACCTAGCATTTCTGCCCTCAGAAATAATTAATTGAATTTTAGGTCAATAATGATTAAATCATAAATTATTATGAATACTTCTCAGCTATGGGTTAAAATAAAACACACTATACATAGTTTAACTTATGCTGAATTAAGAATAATAAAGTTATTAAGTGGATTTCACCTTAAAAGCTGAAGTGAAGTCATCTGCATTGTGAACTGTCAATTCTCTTGAACAAATTCCTTGAGTTTCAACTTTACATGGAATTATAAAGTCCCCAGGAAGAGAAGCAGTTGGGGTTCTTTCTAAGCTTTCAGGTACTTCTCGACCAGGATCAAAGCGATCTACAGTCAATGTCACTCCTTCTTCATCTAAAGAATACAGATAATAGCTATTATATTGCATGCTAATTAAAAATGAAATCAAACAAACATTACAGCAAAGCACTTTAGTCATACTGGGAGCTCTGGTGGAGTGAGTGGTGCCTAAGCCATTTGACTGCTAACCAGAAGGTTGGCAGTTCAAACCCACAAACCACTCCTCAGAAGGAAGATCGGGCAATCTACTTTCATAGAGATACTGCCTTGGAAACCCAAGGAGGGGGTCACTATGAGTCACAATCGAATCGACAGCAGTTGAGTTTGAATTTTTGATTTAATATAGTATAGTAAACACTGATTTTAAAAATCACTTGCATATATATTCTTATACCTGACTAGATTTGAAAATTTATGATGCAGAGTGTCAAGTTTTACTCATCTGCATATCCTTGGGATATGGGGAGAGGGGAAGCACAAAGTTTAATAAATAGTTCCCTAAGTAAATTCTATTAATAGTCATATAAGCTTTTTTAAGTATGCTACCTTCATCCACTGTGAGAGAACCAAGTAAAAAGCATGGCAAATTTTTTTTATTCTGCTTAGCATGACGATAAGTAAGTCGGATGGTCTTTTCAGTCACCACAAGCTTTGGGTTTCTGAAAAACAACAAAAGGCATTTATGAGTATGGTGGATCCGATACCCTAAAAAACCCTCCAGCCACGAAACATTGCCTAGAACATACAATTTATTAAGATGTAAAATGTATTTTTTTACAGAAATATCATGGCCAAAGAGGGAGAACTACCTAGAAACCAGAATGGAAATAAGCAGACACTTAAGTTACAGTCTTTCTCCAGGCATTTGCTTCACATAATGAGCAAGAGCAGGGATGCACAAACTATGAAGCAGGCCTCCTATTTTGGTAAATAAAAGTTTTTTAGAACACAGCTATACCCGTATTATCTATTGCATACAGAATGTAAAATACAAATAAACTGTTTAAAAAATTACCATAGGACCCAGCACTCTCACTCGTTATATACCCAAAAGACTCGAAAGCAGGGACTCAAACATATACTTGCACATTAATGTTCACTGCAGCACTTCTCACAATAGCCAAAAGGTAGAAATAAAATGTCCATCAACAGATGAATAGATAAACAAAATGTAATATACACAGAGGGTGGAACACTATTCTGTCATAAAAAGAAATTAAATCCCCCATGTATCAACATGGATGAATCTTGGAAATATTATGCTGCTGTTACTCTGAACAACAAAGCTGGGTAGAGGCTATGAAAGTATCCACTATATTAAACTCAAAAAAAAAAAAACTTCACTGCCATCAAGTTGGATCCGACTCATAGCGACCCCACCTTGGGTTTTCGAGGCAGTATCACTATGGAAGTAGATTGCCCCATCTTCCTTCCGAGGAGTGGCTGGTGGGTTTGAACCGCCAGCCTTCTGG